TCTTTTGAGTGTGTCCCTCACTTCCACATTGGAAGCCTCTGCATGAAGGTCTCACTCCCTTTTGGGGGATGGGTGAACTAGGTCAACTTCATTTACCACCAACTAATGATTCCATCCCCCACCTCAGCCCTGAAACTGGGAGCTGATGTGTTGTGCAACTATTTTCCAAGGAGCTGGGTTCACCCTGACCAACCTTGAGCTATTTTAGGGCCGCCCTGCCCAGTTTAGTGTGTGTCAGTGGGTGAGCAAGACATGTGCCTCTGCAGACACAGTGGCATGGCGTGTGTCAGCTCACACGTGTCCTGGAATCCTCGGTTCTCCCACCCCGCCCATGGCAGGCCAATCTAGGTGCTTGGCAGAGGTGTGGCAATTTTTCTCCTGCTAATACCACGGGAGCACAGCCACCTGGTTGGCAATGTAACCAGAGGGTCAAAGTCCCTGAGTGGCTAGAGAGCCAAAGTCGTTGTTACCAGGCTGAGATCTCTGAAGGGGGAATTTTAGAGCCCTAGGCTGGATAACTTGTACTTCCACCTCCTGGAACTCGCACCGCTAAGTCCTTTCTGGACACAGAGATAGAGTCCGCTGTGACTCACTCTTTTAGAGGCCAGGGGAACCAGGCTGGGCAGATTCCTTCCCTTCAGTTCCCTCAGAGAATATATTTTCCAGACTAGGGGGCATGTAACCGTCTTTCTTTTGTAAGACAAGACCTCCACTCTCTTTACTGTTGACTAGATATTCCTCCATGGTCCATGGTCTCATCCCTGGAATGATCTTAGCGTTAAAATCAGCAGCTGGGTTTTTGTTTTTGTTTTTGGAAGTTTGGGCACTGTGAATGGTGCTCAGCTGCTCATCCCATACCCCGATCTTCCAATGACAACTAAGTCATTAGCTGCAGTCCATATTCCCAAGGAAGGCACATAGGGAAGTTGGGCACATATGGGAGATGCCACAGGGGTCAAGCCTCACACTCAAAGCAGGAGCTGCACGTGTCCCACAAAGGGTCATGGGTGTTGTTTGGCCATGCCGTGTCTACTGTGTGTTGGGGAATTGCTTATTAACTTCAAGATTAGGGGTTCCACTTGGTAAACTGAGTGGCCAGCAGTTTTGCGGAGACAGGTGGGGATGAGCTCAGTGGCACCCTAGGTCCGGAGACATGGCAGCTGACACCCCCTTTCCTTTTGTTCTCCCTCCAGGTGGCGTCATCAGCTACATTGGCTCCAGTGGCTCCTCCCCAAGCCGAACCAGCCCTGAATCCCTCTATAGTGACAACTCCAATGGCAGCTTCCAGCCCCTGACCCAAGGCTGCCCCACCTACTTCCCACCGTCTCCCACTGGCTCCCTCACCCAGGACCCAGCTCGCTCCTTTGGGAGCATTCCACCTAGCCTGAGTGATGAGGGCTCCCCTTCTTCCTCATCTTCCTCCTCCTCCTCCTCCTCTTCCTCCTTCTATAATGGGAGCCCCCCAGGGAGTCTACAAGTGGCCATGGAGGACAGCAGCCGAGTGTCCCCCAGCAAGAGCACCAGCAGCATCACCAGTGAGTACCTTTTCAGCTGACTCGGAAGGGAAGCAGGCCCGGGCAGATTGGGAATGGGTTTTCCTGTGACGCAGGTCTCACCAGGGCCTACTCCAGCTTCAGGGATTTCTCCTAGGGTAGCACCGGCCCCTCTTCAGCCCAGTCTAGTCACTCCAGTGCCCCTCGACACCGGAGTTCCTCTTTAGCTTTTCCCTCTTGGGATCTCCCACCCAGAAAGCCTCCACACCTCTGGCCCCTCAGCCTGGCCTCTCCTGCTCACCTGCTGCCCCTCTCTTCCACAGAGCTGAATGGCATGGTGCTACTGTGTAAAGTGTGTGGGGATGTTGCCTCGGGCTTCCACTATGGCGTGCATGCCTGTGAGGGCTGCAAGGTGAGGCGGGCTGGGGGTAAGGGCAGGGGCAGGTGGCCTCCTCTCCCTGGACACAGAGGTGCAGCCATGATGGAGGTGGTCACTAACCGCCCCCGCCCTCCAGGGCTTTTTCCGTCGGAGCATCCAGCAGAACATCCAGTACAAGAGGTGTCTGAAGAATGAGAATTGCTCCATCGTCCGCATTAATCGCAACCGCTGCCAGCAGTGTCGCTTCAAGAAGTGTCTCTCCGTGGGCATGTCTCGAGACGGTGAGGCATCTCCACATCCTCCTGCTTCCTTCCGCCCAAAGTTTCTGAATTAATCCCTCCCTTTTAAAGAGTCCCAAATGGAGACACATTATACTATGAATCGCATTTGCACAGGGGATGTCCATCCTTCATCTGCTTGGGTCAGCATAAACTTGTATCCCATTGGTCCCTCGGGTCACCTCCTACCAGCAATCCCTCCTTGGGAAACCCCCTTGTTGGGTGCGGCCTTGCTTGTTTTAGTTTTGATGTGAAACCCCAAGCCTTCAGGGCCTTGCCCTTTCAGGAGGAAGGAAGGAAGATAAACACGTGAGTGTGGTGGAGAACTTCCTGACACTGTTATCCTGTCGCAGCTGTGCGTTTTGGGCGCATCCCCAAACGAGAGAAGCAGCGGATGCTTGCTGAGATGCAGAGTGCCATGAACCTGGCCAACAACCAGTTGAGCAGCCAGTGCCCGCTGGAGACTTCACCCACCCAGCACCCCACCGCAGGCCCCATGGGCCCCTCGCCATCCCCCGCTCCGGTCCCTTCACCCCTGGTGGGCTTCTCTCAGTTCCCGCAACAGCTGACGCCTCCCAGATCCCCCAGCCCTGAGCCCACAGTGGAGGATGTGATATCCCAGGTGGCCCGGGCCCATCGAGAGATCTTCACCTATGCCCACGACAAACTGGGCAGCTCTCCTGGCAACTTCAATGCCAACCATGCATCAGGTAGCTCTCCAGCCACCACCCCACATCGCTGGGAAAGTCAAGGCTGCCCGCCTGCCCCCAATGACAATAACACCTTGGCCGCCCAGCGTCATAATGAGGCCCTAAATGGTCTACGCCAGGCCCCTTCCTCCTACCCTCCCACCTGGCCTCCTGGCCCTGCACACCACAGCTGCCACCAGTCCAACAGCAACGGGCACCGTCTATGCCCCACCCACGTGTATGCAGCCCCAGAAGGCAAGGCACCTGCCAACAATCCTCGGCAGGGCAACTCCAAGAATGTTCTTCTGGTAAGAGCATGGGGGCGAGTGGTAGGTCGGGAGGACTTGGCAGAACGGACTTAGCGTAGGGCAGCTGGGTGTTCCTGGAGGCTGATTGTGGGGATTTCCTCTTCCCAGGAGAGAATGTCTTGTCTTGCATGGGCTCTGCCTGGGAACCCCTGATCTCTACCTGGCACCTGATTGCTCCTTTATCTGAAAGACTCATCCTCCAGAGCCACAGCCCCTAGCCCAGGCAGAATCTGGGGTCCAGCTTGGCTTGGGGAGTCCATCTGACCCAGCCTGGCTGACCCTCCCTTCCCTCCCCAGGCATGTCCCATGAACATGTACCCACATGGACGCAGTGGGCGAACGGTACAGGAGATCTGGGAGGATTTCTCCATGAGCTTCACGCCTGCTGTACGGGAGGTGGTAGAGTTTGCCAAGCACATCCCCGGCTTCCGTGACCTTTCTCAGCACGACCAAGTCACTCTGCTTAAGGCTGGCACCTTCGAGGTGAGTGACCGTTTATGCTTCCTGCTTTTGTTTGTTTTGAGACGGAGTTTGGCTCTTGTCACCCAGGCTCGGTGCAATAGTGCAATCTCCACTCACTGCAACCTCCACCATCTGGGTTCAAGTGATTCTCCTGCCTCAGCCTTCCGAGGAGCTGGGATTACAGGTGCCTGGCACCACGCCTGGCTAATTTTTGTCTTTTTAGTAGAGACAGGGTTTCCCCATGTTGGCCAGGCTGGACTTAAAACTTCTGACCTCGTGATCCACCCACCCCGCCCTCCCAAAGTGCTGGGATTACAGGCGTGAGCCACTGTGCCTGGCCAAAAAGCACTTCCTGCTTTTTTTTTTTTTTTTTTTTTTTTTAAGACGGAGTTTCACTCTTGTTGCCCAGGCTGGAGTGCAATGGCGCGATCTCGGCTCACCGCAACCTCCGCCTCCTGGGTTCAGGCAATTCTGCTGCCTCAGCCTCCTGAGTAGCTGGGATTACAGGCACGCGCCACCATGCCCAGCTAATTTTTTTGTATTTTTAGTAGAGACGGGGTTTCACCATGTTGACCAGGATGGTCTCGATCTCGTGACCTCGTGATCCACCCGCCTCGGCCTCCCAAAGTGCTGGGATTACAGGCTTGAGCCACCGCGCCCGGCCACTTCCTGCTTTTGACCTTGGGAAGGATCCGGCAGGAAGCCTTGGTGTCTGGGGTGGGCTGGACCTCTGAAAGGTTTTGGAACCCAGTATCTTTGTCCTTATAGCCTCTGATTGGTGGAAGGGGCTAAGCTGCTGCCGCTGCCGCCTCTGGATTGCTGGGACTTCTGTCATCTCAGCTGGAATTTAATCACAACCCATTACACTGAAGCACCCATTCTAGACAAGAGCAGATTAACGTTGGCGAATGCCTTGCCCAAGGTCACAGGTAGTGACAAAGTTGACACTCAGATTCAGGCTGATTAGATCCCAAAGCCATCCTTCCACCTGGGCTCCCTCATTGCCCATTCAGAAACAAGCTCCACTCCACTGAGAAATGGAAGGCAGCACCACTAAACCCTTTGGCAAACTACAGGGGCAATTGGCCAGCGCTCCTCCCACTCCACCCAGGATGACGGTTCCTGCCCCCCGCCAGGTGCTGATGGTGCGCTTTGCATCATTGTTCAACGTGAAGGACCAGACAGTGATGTTCCTAAGCCGCACCACCTACAGCCTGCAGGAGCTCGGTGCCATGGGCATGGGAGACCTGCTCAACGCCATGTTTGACTTCAGCGAGAAGCTCAACTCCCTGGCGCTTACCGAGGAGGAGCTGGGCCTCTTCACCGCGGTGGTGCTTGTCTCTGCAGGTAGGTCAAGCTCTCACCTGACCCGGGGGAGGAGGCAGACGCAGTTCAATTCAACACACCTTTTATGGAGTACCTACTCTATGCCAGGCCCTGCACCGGGCACTGGGGATACAGACATGATTCAGACACAGTCTAGCTTGGGAAACAGACTCATGCCCAACTAATTATAAAACAGTGAGATAAGTGTCACAGTAGAAGCATGAACCAAGGAAGCACAGACAACTATTTCTGCCTGGGGGAGCTGGGGAAGGAGGTGACACTTGAGTGAGGCCTCAAAGGACAAGTAAGATGTTGCCAGGCAGAGAAAGGGGGGAAGGGCATCCCAGGCAGAGGGCACTACAGAGCAGAAAGCAAGGGAGCCGGGCCACGTTCGGCATGTTCAGGAAGGGACGGTGGTCTTGCGGGATGGGAGGTGACCAGCCCTGCTGAGCCCACGCTCCCAGCATTCGGGCCTCTCCTGCTCTTGGGGCAGAGGCCTAGGAGAAGGTGTGGCGCGCCTTCTCCTTCCCCATCGGCCCTCTGGGGGGCTTCAGGGAGAGGCTGCATTGCCTGCCAGGTCCTCGCAGACCTCCGGTTCCTCGTCAGAGGAGCTCCGGGAGTCCGCCTCACTGCTGTCGTCTTCCCCACAGACCGCTCGGGCATGGAGAATTCCGCTTCGGTGGAGCAGCTCCAGGAGACGCTGCTGCGGGCTCTTCGGGCTCTGGTGCTGAAGAACCGGCCCTTGGAGACTTCCCGCTTCACCAAGCTGCTGCTCAAGCTGCCGGACCTGCGGACCCTGAACAACATGCATTCCGAGAAGCTGCTGTCCTTCCGGGTGGACGCCCAGTGACCCGCCCGGCCGGCCTTCTGCCGCTGCCCCCTTGTACAGAATCGAACTCTGCACTTCTCTCTCCTTTACGAGACGAAAAGGAAAAGCAAACCAGAATCTTATTTATATTGTTATAAAATATTCCAAGACGAGCCTCTGGCCCCCTGAGCCTTCTTGTAAATACCTGCCTCCCTCCCCCAGCACCGAACTTCCCCCTCCTCCCCTATTTAAACCACTCTCTCTCCCCCACAGCCCTCCCCTGGCCCCCTGATTTGTTCTGTTCCTGTCTCAAATCCAATAGTTCACAGCTGAGCTGGCTTCTGTGGTGTGTGCTCGTTTGGGGGGTGGGGTGGAAATACTGCCAAGGCTGGGGGGGGCCACCTCTCCATCTGGTCAGTTTGTGGGGTGGGTACTCTGCCAGCAGATGGGAGGATATAGGGAAACAGCACACAAGTCTAAGGGGGGTGCCCAAGGGGGTTATTTTCATCATATATTTATTACATAAATATATAGTAAAATAGACGAGCAACAATTACCATAAAAATATCTTTCTTTAAAATCCTGACCCAAAACACAACGGGGTGAAAAATCGCACATAACAGACATACTGATTGTCAACGTGGGGCGGGAGTAGGAGCCCCTCAAGTCACCCCTACCGGTCCCACCCCTCCCTGGGGAAGAGACCTACCTCCTTCCCTGTTTCTGGCCACAGCCCCCCTCCCTCCAGCCCAGCACCAGCTTCTCATACATTCAGTAGCGCCTCTGGGCAGTGTCCCCCTCCCCCCGCCCAGGAGTTTCCAGGGCAGGAGTTACTGTCCTCCTTATGGACGGTGTCTCTGTCACACGCCCTGCCCTCTCCCAGCCCTGCAGACCCGCCACCAGGAGAAGGGGTAGGGGCTCCTCCCCCACCCTCCCCAAGTCTGAGCAGGGAGGAGGCTGGATGAGGTATGTGTGTTATGAGTGATGGGAGGGGCAATACTGAGATGGAGAGGCAGGTGGTGGGGGCAGGGTAGTGGTCATGGCTCTGGCACCCCCTTGTCCTGGCCTGGCCCCCTCGTCCTAGTCTCAGCAACCCATCCTCCCACCAATACTACACCTGCCGCTCCACCCTGCCTGCCCTAGTGCCTGGGCCAGTACTGGGGGAGGCACGCTGAGCACCCACGTCAAGGCCATCCCCCTCATTAGCACCAATGGCCCCCAGGAGAGGGCCCTGTCCCCTACTTCCACAGCAGGGACTGGGACAGCTGCCTCTCTAGAGCAGGTGCGTAGCACTCCTGAGTCGCCCTGGCTCCTCCCCTACCACATGTACTCACTCACACATTCACGCAGAGGAACGCACGCATACACCCCACATCATTGAGGGGGAGGGGAGGGGTCTGGGGAGGGGGAATCACAGCTCGTATGATTGGGGAGGGCGGGGGAGTCCCAAGTGCCTGTAAGAGGCCAAGGCTCTTCAAGGCCTTTTCTCCGCCGTGTCCATGGCTGAGAATGGGGCTGGAGGGGTCGGGGTGGGGATAGAGGGATGGGGAAGACAGCAGACAGGTCAGGAATTCCACTGGGCCCCCAGGCGTGGGAGGAAGGTACAAGAGGGCCTACCCATGGGACTGGAGTAATACAGGAATCAGCACTCCAGGAGAGAGAGAGAGAGAGAGAGAGAGAGAGAGAGAGAGAGAGAGAGAGAGAGAGAGAGAGAGAGGATAGAGACAAAGACAGCAGGGCAGTCCGGGCCCCAGCAGGGTGGGACAGGCACATGCACAGGTGACAGCGGGTGCTCCTCCAGGCCCTCCACCCCTTTTGGAACACCTGAATGATGGGGGAAGGGCAGTGCCCTGGCAGACAGCATAGCATTGCCTTCCCATGTGCGTGTGTGCACGGGTATGTGTGTGTGTGTCTGTGGGGGTGTGTGTAGGGGGCTGCGGCAGGCTGAGAGTCAGGGTGGGGTGGCAGGTTCCCCACTGCTTAAGACATTTTTGCCCCAATAGTGCAAAGAGCAGGAAGCCCTGGCACCCCTCCCCCCACCCCCTGCCCCAATCCCCATGGCTTCCGGGGGCATCTATGTCCACCCATCCATCCCTGCCGACATGCAGCCCTGAGCCCAGCACCCTCTGGTCTGCTCTGTCCCACCCCACCTCCTGCTCCTGTGGGAGGACCACCTCCTCCCTCCCTCTCTCCCCTGAGGAGTGGGCGGCAGCCACAGGGCAGGGGAGAAGGGGAGCTCACCCAAGCGCAGACCAACAGAGCACCCTCACCAGGAGGGTGGGAGGGGCTCAAGCCAAAGTCCCTGAATTAGAGAAAAGAAGAGGGGAACAGGTCCCAGGGCAGAGGGGCAGCTGGCCAAAAGAGCTTGAAAGAAAAAGGAGCACCAACCACCCCGACCCCTGTGGCCCTGACTAAGTGTCACTCATCTAAACACCCCCATGGGGGTGCATGCCCGCCCAGAGTTAGTGCAGTGAGTAGGAGCAGGGGAGGAGGGCGGAGGTTAGAGAGAGCCCAGAAGACGTGGGAAACAGGGAAACAGAGTGCCTAAGAGGGGGAAGCTCTGGGAGACGCTCACGCACAGCCCCCCACCCCCACCCCTCCCCCCCCAATGCAGCAGCATCCGGTTTCTGGCTAATACTGCAGGCTATGAGGAGGGTAGGAGCTGGAGCCACAGTTTTTCCTGGGTGGGTGCCAAGGTGTAGAAGGAGGGGGTGGACAGGGAGAGGCCCCTAGGGCTGGGCACTTAAAGGGGAGCTGTGTGGGCGGCAGGGCAGGCTGGTGAGGGGCCAGCTGGCATCCAGCGTGAGAGGTAGATGGAACTCAGCGGGCACGAGTGGCAGAAAGCAGAGGATGTGCTAGGGTTGGAGGGTGCCAAAGGGGCACAGAGGGCGGGGCTCGGCAAGGGGGTGGCCAGGACCCTGTTGTGTTAACTCACAGCTCTGATCGGCAGCCCTACCCTTGGGGCTCTGGTGTGGGGGCATTTCTGTCTGATGTGGGGGGAGGAGGGGCAGCTCTCAAAGTGCATGGGGTGGTAAGGGGGGGGGGTCCCTCCCCTCTGGTCAGCCTCAGTTAATAACTTAATATCGTCTCTCTCTATCGCTCGCTCTCTCTTTTTTGTATTTTTCTCTCTGTCTAGTTTTTCTTCATTTGTCTTTTCCCCTTGCTTGGTTTTCAAAGTGCAGTTAGAATAACTATAAATTTTAACCTCCGGGGGAGGAGCCAAGCCAAGCCGTTCTTTGTACCCAGGCACCTGGGGAAGTAGGGAGGCCCTCAGCCTGGAGGGGAGACCTAGGCCAAGGAACTGGGTGTGGGCTCGCTCTTGGGTGTGTGTAGGGGGTGAGCTGAGGGCATCTTCCCCCAGCCCACTTCCTCCTTCCCCTACGGTCAAGATGGCTTGTCCCCTCTCAGCCCGCCTGCCCTTCCCCTACCTTCTGAGAGGACGGGGTCCTGGGAACTGCAGGATGCGGTCCCCAGCCTCCCACACTGTCCTTTCCATAGCAAGTTCATTGGTTTGCCCCGTCCCAGGGCTGGAGGTCTGAGGAGGGGCCTGGGCAGTGCGGGTGTGTGTGTGGGAGCTGAATCTATCCAAGGACGAGAGGAAGGAGAGAAGGGGTGTGGGGGGGTCCCCCTCAGCCCCCAGCTCTGCCCCTTCTCTCCAGGCTCCTCCCCACCAGCTCCGCACACCCTCTGGCCGCCTGAGGCTTTAGACTTCCTGATCCTCAAAGACCTCGAGGAAGAGTGGGGGGAAGAGTTCGGTGGGGCACTCGACTTTCATGTGAAGGAAGCGGCTGGCGTGGCAGGCCCCAATCATGCGGAGGTCAGTCACCTTCATCAGCAGCTTGGGCCAGAAGTGCGGAATGTTGTGTTTGCGGTGGTTGACGTAGTGCTCGAACGCCAGCAGGTACGCCTCCTGACTCTTCTCGATCTTGTCCACACACAGCAGGCCCGAGCGGTCTGTGGGGAAAGAGGGGCGTGAGGGGCGAGGGGCCGGCCGAGGGCCTGGAGATGGGGAGGGCGAGGTGTGGGGGGGGGGCGGGAAGAAAGGACTAGAGGGGAGACCGAGGCAGAGAGGCTGGGGGAGGTAAGGGGAGAAGCTCTCGAGGGGACGTGGGCAGGAAAAGCACAGGGCGGAGGCGGCTGGGGAGTGGAGAGGGGTGGAGGGGCTGGGTAGATGGGCTAACACGACAACAGAGGGCCTGGGGCTGGGGTAGAGAGGACTGGGGTCGGTGGTCAGAGAGGTGGGGTGGGGAGGGGGTAGGGAGGGGACTCGAGATGGGTTTGGGAGACAGAGGAGGGACGGAGGATGGAAGGTGGCTGAGAACAAAGCCAGGAGTGTGGAACCAAGGGGAATGTGAGTGACCGAGGGCGGAGGCAGAGAGAAAGACGGAGGCAAAGACAGGCAAAGGCACAGAGCAGGGATGGGGAGGCAAGGGACCGGCCTGGTGAATGAGTGAGGAGTGGGTGACAGAGCAAGGGATACGGGACAGGGGATGGTTTGGGTGACAGAGATGTAGCCTGGAAGAAGATTCAGGAGGGAGCTGAGTACCAGGTGAGGCTCCAGCCAATCGCTGGGACCCCTGGAAGCGTCTGAGCCCTCCCGGCCAATCAGCAGATACCTGTTGACATTAGCAGCACAGCCTGCAGCAGAGCCACTTCCGTGTCATCCAGGTTAAAGGCAGAGAGGGACTTGCCCAGTTCAAAGATGGCGTCAGAGACTACACCCAGGCCGCCATTCTTGAGCTGCTCCCGCTTGACGGCCATCTCCCCACTCAGCGTCAGGGTGTCGCTCTCAGGGTCGTAGCGGACAGCCGCCCGCAGGGACATGATCTCCATGCAGCACCCCTTCAGGAGGATGATCTGGTCTTCGCAAGGCAGCTGTGAAGCAGCAGGGCCACAGGAGCACTCAGCACACCCCTCCCCGCGTCCCTGGGTCTCCATGGAGTGTCCTCCAGGAGCCATTGGCCTCAGCCAATAGCATGGACTGTGAACGGCTGACCCTGTGTTGGGCCACGTGCATGCCCTATTTCATTTAAGTCTCACAATTATACGTGTGAGGCCGGGCGCAGTGGCTCCCATTTGTAATCCCAGCACTTTGGAAGGCCGAGGCAGGCAAATCACTTGAGGTCAGGAGTTTGAGACTAGCCTGGCCAACATCCATGGTGAAACCCTGACTCTACTAAAAATACAAAATTAGCCGGATGTGGTAGCATACACCTGTAGTCACAGCTACTCAGGAGGCTGAGGCAGGAGAATCACCTGAACCCAGGAGGTGGAGGTTGCAGTGAGCCAAGATGGCGTCACTGCACTCCAGCCTGGGCAACAGAACAAGATTCCGTTTCAAAAAAGAAAAAAAAATAAATTATGCCTGTGAGTTAGCACCCATCACCACGCCCAGCCCGCACCAGATGGGAACACTGAGGCGCAGGGGATGGAGGTAACTTGTCCCAGGTCACATGGCTGGTAGGGCAGCCTGTCTCCAGCACTAGTGCTCTGGAAAATGAGAACTTTCAGACTGCCTGGAGCTGGGCGGCCGCATAGATTGGAGGGATGCGGGGCTGCAGAGAGGAGCACTTGCAGCCAGGTGGTTTCTTAAAGCAGCTAGACCTTGGTGTGTTGTCTCTGTGTGTGTTGTGTGTATGTGTGTGCTGGGAGGTGTGTCTGTGTATGTATTTGTGTATGTGTCTGTGTGCTAGGTGTGTCTCCACGTGTGTGCCTGTGTGCGAATGTGTCTGTGTCTGTCCGTGTGTGTGTGTGTGTGTATGGCTGTGTATGTATCTGTGTGTCTATCTGCTGAGTGTGTGTCTGTGTGTCAGTGTGCTAGGTATGTGTCTGTGTATGCATCTGTGTGTGTGCCTATGTGCTGTGTGTGTGTGTCCACGTGTGTCTGTGTGCTAGGGGTGTGTGTGTCTGTGTGCTGGGTGTATGTATCTGTGTGTGTCTGTGTGCTGGGTGTGTCTGTGTGCCAGGTGTGTGTGTGTGTGTGTGTGTGTGTCTGTGTCTGTGCTTGTGTGCTATGTGTATATGTGTGTGTGTCTGTGTATGCATCTGTGTGTGTATCTGTGTGCTAGGTGTGTGTATCTGTGTGTATGTGTGCATGTGTCTGTGCTAGGTGTGTGTGTCCATGTGTGTATGTCTGTGTATGTATTTGTGTGCTAGGTGTGTCTATGTTGTGTGTCTGTGTGCTGCGTGTATGTGTGTATCTATATGTGTGTGTGTGTGTCTGTGTATGTATCTGTATGCTAGGTGTGTGTGTCTGTATGTATTTGTATATGTGCCTGTGTGCTGGGTATGTGTTGATGTACAGGAATTGCTCCTTGTCCAGAGAACCTCAGATGAGCCTGTACTGGGTGACCGGGGGAGCATGTTTCCCTCCAGCACACCATGTCTCTCCTCCCTGCCACTCACCTCGGAGAACATGGGCAGTTTTTTGGCAAAGTCCACCACACGGGTGATGGCCGGGGTGATGATCTTGGTAAACTCGCTGAAGGCTTCCAGGTCCACCTTGTCTCCATCTGGCATGGAGACGATGGGTGACTGGCCAATGTCCTCAGGCTAAAGAGAAAGACGGGGGTCAGCTGGGGCCGTAGCCCCCTTTCAGCCGCTCACTGAGGCTCCCTGCCCACCAGGGGGAGCTCCAAGGCAGCTTGGGGAAGAGGGGCCGCCAGTGCCCGAGTCCCAGCCACAAAGCTTTTTCCTTCCTTCACCTTGAGCAGAGCCAGAGCTCCAAGTCAGCTGATAATACCAATGGCAATAACAGTAGTAGCAGCTATCATGACTGAATATTTAATATGTGATCAGGCATCAGGCTGCATGTTTTACATGTCTTATCTCATTTCATCCTGACCGTAATCCTAAAAGGAATAATCACTATTTCACAGATGTGGAAACCGCGACATGGGGCAGCTAAGTAATAAGGTGAAAGTCCTATGACTAGCAGGTGGTAGGACCAGGGTTTGAACTCAGGCAGTCTGACTCCTGACTGTCATACTGCTTGGAATCAGAGCCTGGGCCCTTAACGGTGCACTGTGCCACCCCTGGCATGCTCCACCAGGAGCCAGGAGCCGGGTTTCTGCCTTCCTTCACCATACAGAGCCAACTGTCCATCTCCTGCCAAACTGACCATTTCTTTTTGAGACAGGGTATTGCTCTGTTGTCTGGGCTGAAGTGCAGTGGTATGATTATGGCTTACAGCAGCCTTGACCTCCTGTGCTTAGGGGATCCTCCTGCCTCAGCCTCCTGAGTAGCTGGGACTACAGGCATGCACCACCACACCAGCTAATTTTAAAATTATTCATAGAGGCTGAGCATGGTAGCTCATACCTGTAATCCCAGCACTTTGGGAGGCTGAGGTGGGTGGATCACTTGAGGTCAGGAGTTCAAGACCACCTTGGCCAACATGGTGAAACCCCGTCTCTACTAAAAATATAAAAATTAGCCAGGCATGGTGGTGGTCGCCTGTGATCCCAGCTACTTGGGAGACAGGTGGGAGAATTGCTTGAACCCGAGAGGCGGAGGTTACAGTGGGCCGAGATCATGCCACTGCACTCTAGCCTGGTCGATAGAGTGAGATTCTGTATAGAGGAAAAAAAATTATTTGTAGAGGTGGGTTCTCCGTATGTTGCCCAGACTGGTCTCAAACTCCTGGACTCAAGCAATCCTCCCACGTTGGTCTCACAAATTGCTGGGATTACAGCCATAAACCACTGCATCTGGTCCCGAACTAATCATTTACTTAGCAACTAACTTTACCAGGGCCTAACGAAATGCCTGGCACCCAGCAGGTGCTCAAAAATACTGTGACATGACTGTATCCTTACCCTTTCCTCCCAGTCATTATGGGCAGAAAAAAGGAGAGAGCTCACCCCTGCTCCCTGGAAATTCGATGAGGAAGGTAAGGCCCTGTCCTCATGGAGCTTCCCAACTGGATGGAGTAGGCAGGGTCCCGACAGCAAGGACACAAACACAAGTGTATAAAATTTGGAAAGCAAAGGTGTGAAGAGGATGAATTTTGAGTTGGATTACACTAAGAAGACTTCCTAGAGGTGGCAAGACTCTGAGCTCACTCTCCTCTCCCTGCTACCTGGCTGCTGCTCTCCACATGCCCTCTTTCTCCTTACCAGGAATTTCCGCTTCTGCTTCCAATGGCTGCCCTGGGCATTGGTGCTGCGATGGGCCTCTGTGGCAATGTGGATGAGATCCCACTCTTCAGGAGTGGGCTCTGGTCGCTGCTGCAGTGATCGGATCATCTCCTCCTTCCGCCGCCGCTCCCGGTTCTGTTCAATCAGCTTACGCTTGGCCACCCGCTTCGAGTCATCTAGAACCACTGTGAACAGAGAGGTTCACAGTCCTATGCATGGCACCCCCCATACCCTCTCCATAATGCTCCTGAAATCTACTGTTCCTAGAGTACAGGTTGGGGAAACTGGAGACTAAGTGACTTCCCAAATCACCTAGCACTTGGGCGGCAAAACCTGAATCATGATTAACCCCTGGGACCATGTCAACAGCAGTTTGGGCTGATCCAGATGAATATCATGTTCTGGTCTAACGGGTTATGGTGATGGTGGTTACAACAAGATCCTGCCACCCAATCCCCAGCCAATGGAAGATGCCCTGTCTCATCTAGAAGTAGGATGCCTTCCCTGGGAGTCAAGAACAACGTGCTAGGGTGGGTGCCCAGGAGCTCCTCCTACCAAACGAGTTCCTCTCTAAGGCCCTCGAGTGTTATAAGGCAGGCAGGCACTGCAGCCCACACAGGGATCCTGTTTCCTTTTTTGCAGGAAAAAGGGCAGCAGGGACCAAGACACTTAAACATTCTGCCCTCAGCCTGACCTGGACTGGACTGCCACTCTGCCCTGTGGGCCCTGGGGTACCCTGGAAGGGAGCTGCCCTCCGGGAACTCATCCCCACCTCAGGCCACCTGGCTCTATTCACCCAGCCCGGGCCCCTTACAGTCCATGGCCATGCCCACGGCGATGCATTTCTTGAAGCGGCACAGCTGGCACTGATTGCGGGTGATCTTGTCAATGACACAGCAGCTGTCATATTTGCAGGAATAGGTGGGATGGAGGTTCTTCTGGATTGTGCGGCGAAAGAAGCCCTGGGGTGGAGGGAGATGGAGCAGGCTGTGATCATGACATGAATTCCCCTTCCTGAACCAACCATGAAGTTTACCGGGGGTCAGGGGTAGACAGCAAGGAAGGCAAGACCAGTGAAGGGATCTGACATCCTCCTGATAACACGCCCCAGGATTACTGGGCTCGAGGACCTGAGAAATACATGCCCTCAGCCCCCAGGCTGCTGAAGGGTTGGGGGTGTCTGTGCAGTAGTGGTGGCAGAGGTAGGAATGAGGACCACAGCAGGCAGCTTTGAACCTGGGATGGTATGAGGTGTTATAGGTCCTTAAGGAATAGCAGCTTTGGAAATCCAAGTAAAACCTAATTTTCCATCTTGCTAAATGACACTAAAAACAACTTATCTTTACTAAGTGACTGACATTGACCAAAAACTGGCCCCAAAACCATTCTCGTGTATGTTGCCTGTTGCCCATGCAGGTGGAATTCATAAAACAGGGGGACCAAAAAAGTCGAGGAAAGGTACTGAGTACGAACTCTACCAGGGGAAGAGAAAAATTTCAATTCTACATATTGGGATTCACCTTTATTTTATTATTTTAGACGGACATAATTTTATTATTTTCACTCTTGTTGTCTAGGCTGGAGTGCAATGGCGCGATCTTGGCTCACTGCAACCTCTGCCTCCGGGGTTCAAGCGATTCTCCTGCCTCAGCCTCCCTAGTAGCTGGAATTACAGGCATGCGCCACCATGCCCAGCTAATTTTGCATTTTTAGTAGAGACGGGGTTTTTCTTTTTCTTTCTTCTTTTTCTGAGACGGGTTTTTTTCTATGTTGGTCAGGCTGGTCTTAAACTCCCGACCCCAGGTGATCTGCCCGCCTCGGCTTCCTAAAGTGCTGGGATTACAGGCATGAACCACTGCGCCCAGCCAGGATTCACCTTTATATTAAAGGAGAAACCTCAAAAATAAAGATGATTGCAATAATATGAATAATTAATGTTTGTTCATATTTATAATATGTCAGTCACTTAGTAAAGATAAGCCTTGCCTGATGGGTGCAATGACTCACACCTGTAATCCCAGTACTTTGGGAGGTTGAGGCAGGCAGATCACTTGAGGCCAGGAGTTCAAGATTGAGATGCGCCTGTCCAACATGGCAAAACCCCATTTCTACTAAAAATACAAAAATTGGCCAAGCATGGTGGCGTGTGCCTATAGTCCTAGCTACTCTGGAGGCTGAGGTGGGAGGACTGCTTGAGCCCAGGATGTCAAGGCTGCAGTGAGCTATGATCGCACCACTGCACTCCAGCCTGGGTGACAGAGACCTCATTTAAAAAAAAACAGCCGGGCGCGGTGGCTCAAGCCTGTAATCCCAGCACTTTGGGAGGCTGAGGCGGGTGGATCACGAGGTCAAGAGATCGAGACCATCCTGGTCAACATGGTGAAACCCCGTCTCTACTAAAGATACAAAAAATTAGCTGGGCATGGTGGCACGTGCCTGTAATCCCAGCTACTCAGGAGGCTGAGGCAGGAGAATTGCCTGAACCCAGGAGGCGGAGGTTGCGGTGAGCCGAGATGGCGCCATTGCACTCCAGCCTGGGTAACAAGAGCGAAACTCCGTCTCAAAAAAAAAATAAATAAATAAAATAAAAAAATAAAAAAATAAAAAAAAACCAACAGAAGCAAAAACCCAAAAGATAAGCCTTGTCATTCATGGAACACCATACTGAACCCTCAAGACAACCCTATGAGGTAGGAATTGTTATTGCCTCCACTTTGCAGACTAGGAAACTGAAGCTTGGCGAGATGAAGCAATTTGCCCAAAGTCATGTGGCTGGTGGGCAGCAGGGTCAGAACTGGGCCTCAGGTATGGGACACCAAGGTCTGAGCTCTCAGATTCCAAAAGGCATTAAAATCAGCAAAGGTGGCCAGGGATGGTGGCTCACATCTATAATCCCAGCACTTTGGGAGGCTGAGGCAGGTGGATCACGAGATCAGGAGTTCGAGACCAGCCTGGCCAACATGATGACACCCTGTCTCTACTAAAAATACAAAAAATTAGCTGGATGTGGTGGCGGGTGCCTGTAATCCCTGCTACTTGGAAGGCTGAGGCAGGATAATTGCTTGAACCCAGGAGACAGAAGTTGCAGTGAGCCCAGATCGTGCCACAGCACTCCAGCCTGGGTGACAGACGAGATTTTGTCTTTTTTTTTTTTTTTTGAGACAGAGTCTTGCTCTGTCATCAGGTGCCAGGCTGGAGTGCAGTGGCGTGATCTCGGCTCACTGCAACCTCCACCTCCCGGTTCAAGCAATTCTCCTGTCTCAGCCTCCCAAGCAGTGGGGATTATAGGCGCCCGCCACCACACCCAGCTAAATTTTTGTATTTTTAGTAGAGATAGGGTTTCACCATGTTGGCCAGGATGGTCTCGATCTCTTCACCTCATGATCCGCCTGCCTTGGCCTCCCAAAGTGCTGGGATTACAGGCTTGAGCCACCGTGCCCGGCCAAGATTTTATCTTTAAAAAAAAAAAAAGAAATCACCAAAGGCACCTACCAAAGATACAGATTCCTGGGCCTCACTCTAGAACTACAAAATCCAACTCTCCAGGGGTGGGGGCCGAGGCATCTCTGTCTTTTCAGGGTGCTTCCCTGGGTCTCAGATGTTCATGACGGTAAAAGATCCTTGCTCCATGCTACACTGTTTGTATTGCTTCCAGAAGGATTGTATTTCTTCTGCTAGGGAACTCTAAACCCCTCATGGTCTTGGTTTGGCTGACACCAAGAAAGAGAAACTTCAAGCCTTAACTGTTTTTTTCTTTATTTTTTTAAAACTCCACCCTCAGTCCCCCAACCTTTTTTTTTTTTTTCTAAGACAGGGTCTTGCTCTGCTGCCCAGGCTGGAGTACAGTGGCATAATCACAGCTCACAGCAGCTTCGACCTCCCAGCTTCAAGTGATCCTCCTACCTCAGCTGCCTGAATAGCTGGGACCACAGGTGTGCACCACCATGCCTGGCTACTTTTAAAAATTTTTTGTAGGGACAGGGTCTCATTATGTTGCCCAGGCTGCTCTTAAACTGCTGGGCTCAAGCAATCCTCCCACCTTGGCCTCCTAAAGTGCTGGGATTACAGGCATGAGCCACCATCCCAGGCCTTTAACATATAAATAATTGTTTCTTTTTTCCTTTTTTGAGACAGAGTCTCACTCTGTCGCCGAGGCTGGAGTGCAGTGGCATGATCTTGGCTCTCACTGCAACCTCTGTCTCTCCGGTTCAAGAGATTCTCCTGCCTCAGCCTCCCAAGTAGCTGGGATTACAGGTGTGTATCACCACACCCAGCAATTTTTTTTTTTTTTTAAGATGTAGTCCCGTTCTGTTGTCCAGGTTGGGGTGCAATGGGGCAATCTCAGCTCACTGTAAGCCTCCGACTCCTGGGTTTAAGCAATTCTCTTGCCTCGGCCTCCCGAGTAGCTGGGATTACAGGTGACCACCACAATGCCTGGATAATTTTAAAAATATTTTTAGTAGAGGCCGGGCGCGGTGGCTCAAGCCTGTAATCCCAGCACTTTGGGAGGCCGAGGCGGGTGGATCACGAGGTCAAGAGATCGAGACCATCCTGGTCAACATGGTGAAACCCCGTCTCTACTAATAAGACAAAAAATTAGCTGGGCATGGTGGCACGTGCCTGTAATCCCAGCTACTCAGGAGGCTGAGGCAGGAGAATTGCCTGAACCCAGGAGGCGGAGGTTGCGGTGAGCCGAGATCGTGCCATTGCACTCCAGCCTGGGTAACAAGAGCGAAACTCTGTCTCAAAAAAAAAAAAAAAAAAAAAAAAAATATTTTTAGTAGAGATGGGTTTTCTCCATGTTGGCCAGGCTGGTCTCAAATTCCTGACCTCAGGTGATCCACTCACCTCAGCCTCCCAAAGTGTTGGGATTACAGGCGTGAGCCACCATGCCCGGCCACACCCGGCTATTTTTTGTATTTTTAGTAGAGACAGGGTTTTACCATGTTGGCCAGGCTGGTCTCCAATTCCTGACCTTACTCATTCTTTCATTTGGTCATTCATAATCCCTCCTCTGCCACTCACAGGAAAATTGCCTAACTTCTCTGAGCCTTGGTTTCTTCATCTATAAAACGAGATAATCGCCAGGCACAGTGGTTCATGCCTGTAATCCTAACACGTTTGGAGGCCGAGGTAGGTGGATCACCTGAGGTTGGGAGTTTGAGACCAGCCTGACCAACATGGAGAAACCCCGTCTCTACTAAAAATACAAAATTAGCCAGGCATGGTGGCGCATGCCTAGAATCCCAGCTACTCGTGAGGCTGAGGCAGGAGAATCACTTGAACCTGGGAGGTGGAGGTTATAGTAAACTGAGATCGTGCCATTGCACTCCAGCCTGGGCAACAAGAGGGAAACTCCATCTCAAAATAAATAAATAAATAAATAAATAAATAGGCCGGGTGCGGTGGCTCAAGCCTGTAATCCCAGCACTTTGAGAGGCTGAGGAGGGTGGATCACGAGGTCAAGAGATCGAGACCATCCTGGTCAACATGGTGAAACCCCGTCTCTACTAAAAATACAAAACATTAGCTGGGCATGGTGGCACATGCCTGTAATCCCAGCTACTCAGGAGGCTGAGGCAGGAGAATTGCCTGAACCCAGGAGGCGGAGGTTGCGGTGAGCCGAGATTGCGCCATTGCACTCCAGCCTGAGTAACAAGAGCGAAACTCCCGTCTCAAAAAATAAAATAAAATAAAATAAAATAAAATGAGGATAATCATTCTATCTACCTTACAGGATTGCTGGGAGAATTAAATGAGATCATTCACTGGAAGTGTTTAAAACAGTGCCATGGGGTGCAGTAACCTCAGGTGATCTGCCTACCTCAGACTCCCAAAGTATCAGAATTTAAATAATTCTGTTTCTTGGAAGGCCTTGCATTTTTAGGAGGTGATCCTGGAAAAGCTATCCAGGCTGAAATGATCAAAGTGACATCTAATCAGGTCTCCCAAGAACTTTGGGAGGCAAAGGCGGGAAGATCACCTGAGGTCAGGAGTGCGAGACGAGCCTGGCCAACATAGTGAAACCCCATTTCTACTAAAATTATAAAAATTAGCCAGGCATCGTGGTGCATGCCTGTAATTCCAGCTACTTGGGAGGCTGAGGCAGGGAGAATTGCTTGAACCTGGGAGGCAGAGGTTGCAGTGAGTTAAGATCAGGCCATTGTTGTACCCCAACCTGGGCAACATAGCAAGACTCTGTCTCAAAAACAATAACAACAGGGCCGGATGCGGTGGCTCAAGCCTGTAATCCCAGCACTTTGGGAGGCCGAGGTGGGTGGATCACGAGGTCAAGAGATCGAGACCATCCTGGTCAACATGGTGAAACCCCGTCTCTACTAAAAATACAAAAAATCAGCTGGGCATGGTGGCGCGTGCCTGTAATCCCAGCTACTCAGGAGGCTGAGGCAGGAGAATTGCCTGAACCTGGGAGTCGGAGGTTGCGGTGAGCCGAGATGGCGTCATTGCACTCCAGCCTGGGTAACAAGAGCGAAACTCCGTCTCAAAAAACAACAACAACAACAACAACAACAAACAACAATTAGGCCTCCCAAAGTCTATGACCTTGTCCCCTCTGACAGGAAGAACCTGCTGTCCTCTTCTCCTCTGTGCTCCCACTATGCCCCTATCACTGGCTCTCACTCTTTCAGGTGCATTGGAAACACCCGGGATTCTGTTAAAAGGAAGGTTCCTGGGCTCCACCACAAAAGGGTTCTGAGTAAGGGTAAGATGAAGCCTGGGAATCTGCATTTTAACTAGTACTGCAGGTGGTCCATGAACCACATTCTGAAAAACACTGATGGGTCAGGTGCAGTGGCTCACGCCTGTAATCCCAGCACTTTAGAGGTTGAGGAGGGTAGATCATGAGGTCAGGAGTTCGAGACCAGCCTGTCTAACATGGTGAAAACCTGTCTCTACTAAAAATACAAAAAATTAGCTGGGCATAGTGGCACACACCTATAAACCCAGCTACTCGGGTGGCTGAGGCAGGAGAATCACTTGAACCCAGGAGGTGGAGTTTGCAGTGAGCTGACACCTTGCCATTGAACTCCAGCCTGGGCAACAGAACTCTGTCTGTCTCTCTCTCTCTCTCTCTCACACACACACACACAAAGAAGAAAGAAAAACACTGATTTTTGCTTCAAGTCTGTGTCTCTTTCTGACAGGCTGTGAGCAGCTTGAGAGCAGGGTACGTACTACACTCTCATACCTAATAATACACTGAATGAATGGGCAATGGCTTGCATTTATCAAATGCTTCTTATGTACGTGGCGCTGTTTATTTACTTATTTGAGACTGAGTCTCACTCTGTCACTACACTGGAGTGCAGTGGCATGATCTTGGATCACTGCAACCTCCGCCTCCTGGGTTCAAATGATTCTCCTGCCTCAGCCTCATGAAGAGCTGGGACTACATGCATGCACCACTACACCCAGCTATTTTTTTAATATTTTTAGTAGGGACAGGGTTTCACCATGTTAGCCAGGATGTTTTCCATCTCTTGACCTCATGATTCTCCCACTTTGGCCTCCCAAAGTACTGGGATTACAAGTGTGAGCCACCACATCCAGCCTGTTTTATTTATTGACTGACTGATTGAGATGGAGTTTCACTCTTGTTGCCCAGATTGGAGTGCAATGGTACAATCTCAGCTTACTGCAACCTCCATCTCCCAGGTTCAAGCAACTCTCCTGCTTCAGACTCCCGAGTAGCTGGGAATACAGGCATGCACCACCAAGCCCAGCTAATTTTGTATTTTTAGTAGAGATGGGGTTTTCCCATGTTGGTCAGACTGGTCTTGAACTCCTGACCTCTGGTGATCCACCTGCCTCGGCCTCCCAAAGTGCTGGGACTACAGGTGTGAGCCGCCGCACCCAGCAATAGGGAGAGTTATTTTTTATGTTTTATTATTTTATTTTGAGACAGAGTCTTGCTCTGTCACCTAGGCTGGAGTGCAGTAGCACCATCACAATTCACTGCAGCCTTAACTATCTGGGTTCAAGCAATCCTCCCACCTCAGCCTCCTGAATAGCTGGGGCTATAGGCATCTGCCACCACACCCGGCTAACTTCTTTAATTTTTATTTTGCAGAGACAGGGTCTTGCTGTGTTGCCCAGGCTGGTCTCAAACTCCTGGGATCAAGAGATGCTCCCACTTTGACCTTCCTCCCAAAGGACTGAGACTTTAGGTGTGAGCCACAGCATCCAGTGTTACTGTTTTAAACACTTCAAGTGAATTATCCCATTTAATTCTCCCACCAGTGCTATAAGGTAGATGGAATGGTTATCCTTGTTTTATAGATGAAGAAACTGAGGCTAAGAAAAGCCAGGCAATTTTCCTGTGAGTGGCAGAGGAAGGATTATGAATGAGTAAATGAATGAATGAGTAGCAGAAGAGAAAGTGGCCAGGCGCAGTGGCTCACTCCTATAATCCCAGCACTTTGGGAGGCCAAGGCAGGTGGATCACCTGAGGTCAAGAGTTCGAGAACAACCTGGCCAACATGGTGAAACCCTGTCTCTACTAAAAATCCCAAAAAAAAATGAGCTGGGTCTCGTGGCCCATGCCTACAATCCCAGCCACTTGGGAGGCCAAGGTAGGGGAATCGTTTGAACCCGGGAGGTGGAAGTGGCAGTGAGCTGAGATCATGCCACTGCACTTCAGCCTGGATGACAAGAGTAAGACTCCATCTCAAAAAAAAAAAAAAAAAAAAAAAAAAAAAGTGATGATCTAACAGGTGGGCTTTAGGTGACATATGGACATATTTATAGAGTTTGTCTGTCGTGCCAGGTTCTGAGAGACTTAAAGGGAGTAAGATGGGGGCTCAGGTGGCAGGGGAGGGGCAGGAGGTGGCTTCCATACCTTGCAGCCCTCACAAGTGATACAGCGGTAGTGATAACCAGTTGCCTTGTCCCCACACACGACACACTGCTCGTCTTTGTCCAGGTAACTAGGGATATACCCTGGGAGGAAGGAAAGGATGGAGGAAGGCAGGCATGGCTTGCAGTCCCAGCAGAGAGGCCCTCACGCTCTTCCCCTTCCCTCAACTTTCTGTTTTTGGCCCCTCTCCTAGCCCAGCCTCCCTGGTAGAATCCTAGAGAGACACTGGGGGTGAACTTGTCCATCCTCTGCCCTAAGAGGATGAAGAAACTCAGTTCTTCTGACTGCCCATTCAGGGCTTTCTTCTTGCTCTATCTCCAAGGCAGAGGATGGTGGGGAGGGAAAAATAAATGTCAGCAGGTCACTGGGGAGGGGACAGCCCCTCAGTCCTTCAGCTCAGGCCCCGATTCCAGTGAGGCCTCAGATGAGGGTGTTAGGGAAAGAGGGAAGAGGTCTTCATGACCTAATATACCCTCAAAAGCAGGGTACATCCCCCATCACCTTTCTCACCCCAGATAAGGTCATCCCAAGCCCTCTACAAGGCTCCCCGCAGGGAACACAGGAGCTGCTGGGACACATCCAGGTCCAGAGGAGGCCTGGCCAGGTTTGGTGGGGTCGGGTGTGGAGAAGGGGCACGCACGGCCAGCCTCACCTGACATGCTGGTTTTCAGGGAACATTGGCCGTTCTTTCTTTTTCGCTTTCCATCTGGTGACCTGGCACTGGATGGGGGCAAAGTGGGCAGAATCACAGAGCAGTCTTTGGGCAGCCCCTTTCTCCTCCGAGAGGCTTATACAGTCCCCCCACCAGGCCTGATTCTTTCCACTTTGTGTCCTCATTCTACCTCCCTCGACCCCCCTGGGTCAGCTGACAATGCTTAAAAGGGTCCAGCTATCTGGAAGCTGCAGGAGAGAAAGATAAGGGGCTTGGCTGCAGCACAAACATGCTCTAGAGCCCCGACACACACACGTTCACCCGCCAGAAGACCCGAAGCAGACCTGAAGCTCCCATCATCCGCGGGACATCCTCATCTTGCAGTACATGACAAATACGCTGGAAGAATTCTCAGGATATGCTTAGAGCTACGTAACCTTTAGAACACACACATACACATGCAATATAACACTGGCGCAGATGAATAACCGTGCAGCCTTCGCCATAAACCCAAGTATGGTAAGTATGCGCCAGGGCTGACGTATCTGTGCAATTTCCAGGGCATTCTTATAGGACCTCCAGGATATGCCCACGTGTTACGCAGCCCTCTGCACAGGCACCTCATGAACCCACCCCCATCCCTCCAGTGTGCACGTGTTGCTTGAGTTCCAGGTCATACACACACGCTAAGTAACCCACAGCAATGGAAAACACTAGAGCCACCCTCTGCACAGCCTACATTCAACAGAGCGGCAAGCTGAGGCCCCACTTGTGCCTGGTGACACCATGAGCTGGAGTCAGCCATGCCTGAGCCCCTCTGTGCAAGGTATTATCAGCAACCCTCAGCCACTGCACATACATGTTGCTGGCTCTCTACACACGTTACATAACCTCGGCGCACACAGGTTATGTAAGCTGTCTACATGCATGCAAGGATTGCATAACCTTTGCACCCACCCTGCCTGTGGCATGTTGCAGGCCCCTTCCTCCTGGAGCCAGATACAGCTCCCAACACACTGACACAGTGACCTTGGCCAGGGTCACAGTCACAGACAGCCCTGTGCTCCACGCCCCCTGGGGATTACTCCTGTCTAGTTCCTATGAGGCTGAAAGGTCAGGTCTCCCTCCCGTCTTCCAGAAGGTTGGCTGCAGGGGAACTCAGGCCACCTAGGCCCCAGTCGAGCTGGTGGCGTCTTCAGCAGTTACCACCCGACTCACAGCCTCTGAGTGCAGTCCTAGAGATAGCCACAAGGTGGCGCATAGACATGGGGGAGGGGAGGTTGATGGGGGAGGGGCTGCAGTCTTAGGGGACTGGGGACTGGCATTTCTGCCTTTCTCCAAGCCTTAGGAGCAGACTCTTCCAGACCCACGGAAGCCTAAGCTGGGAGATACAGGGGCTGCGAGTGACAGCCACACAGCAACTGGCCAGATCGTCCTCAGAGTCCTTCCTGGGATAAGGCTTTGGGGCAGGGGGGATACACCATGCCCAGCTGTGAGCTCCATCTACTTCCTCTACCCTCCAGGGACCCAGTTGTAGGCCCTAGGGCTTTGCCTGGCCAGGCCTTTGGCTTTCTGGCTCGGGATCTGATCTCCTAGGCAACAGTCAGCCACACTGCTCCCCGGAGCACCCCCACCCCCACCCTCTCCCTGGCCATAGGCACAGGCTGTACCCAGCTCCCAGGGCACCATGCCAACTGGGACAGAGCTCTGTGCCACTTGGAGCTGATGGAAAAGGCAGAGACCCTCTGGGCTCCTCAAGGGCAATGCAGATCACAGGTAACCACTCCTAGATGTATGTGCAGGGCTGAAACTTCACCCACGTGGAAGCAAAACCGTCATGGTTGGCATGCACTTCCACTTTCTGGGAGGAGCCCCATCGCAGTGCCCGCCCTTGATCATGAACAAGGAAGAGCTTGTGGGGCTCCCAATAGATTCCAAATATAAGTGTGGGCTGTGACCAATAGTTACTGGTGCATGTGCCCTGAAATGTCATATTATGTGAACTGCAGCTTGCAGACAACACACTCATGGTCAGATGGTAAATGGGCTGGTAGGGAGAGGAAGAAAATGGCAAGGTTGTTTGGATCCCACAGGCTCAAGGTGAGGGCAGCAATGGTGGAGGAGACATGGGGGGCATCTGAGACTACCCAGCTGTCTAGGGAAGGGCCCCTTACATGCTCCTTGTAATTACTCTGCTCCGTATCACTCCCGCTTCAAAATGGGCATCTCTCAATCCACGTGCCTAATTCCCTGTCACATCTGAACATGACCTCATCTGCCAGACAGAGGTAGGCAGAAGGCTTGCTGGCCTCATGTCCAGCCCGAAGAGGTGCTTAAAGGTGGTACCTAAAGGAGAGCTCAGCCAGGTGCCTATGCCTGCTGCTTAGGAGTTGGCACAACTTAGTTGCTGAACCCATTACCTGTTCTCCTCTGGGTCTGACCCACACTCCACCTTGCTTGGCTTCTGTTCCATTCACTTCAATTCCATCCAGGATGCCCTCCAGCACGCCAAGAGACTGGGGTGGGCACACTGGCCCCCCCGGCACACCCACAGGCCACCCACCCCCTGCCACCCAGGCCCTAGGGCACAGCACCCATGATACCCGCCTCAGCACTTGGCCTTTCACACCATGCCCTGCGCCCCAAGGTGGGGGGCGGGCGGTGAGAGGGGCCAGGGAGTGGCAGGTGGGAGGGCTGGGGGCAAGCTGGGTATGTGGGTCCTGGGTTGTGGGCTGGGAGAGTAGCTTCGTAGTCTTGTCCTGTTCAGAGATCCCTGTGGAGAGAAGAGAGAGGCAGGGGTAAGAAGGTGTCACAGTGGGAGGGTGGGTAGGATCCCTTTGGTGGCAACATTGGAGGTTCTGGGGGCCCAGAACAAGACAGCAGTGGGCAGGAAGGGCAGGAACAGAGAGGGGACCAGGAAAACCCCTTGGATCACAAGTATAGCAGGAGAGATTGGAGATGCACCTCCTAAGCCCCAGACATAGGAAGAAATGGAGAGAGAGAATGAGATCATTCATGTACTAGGTAACATGTCTCAATCTTCATATTCAGATAAATGCCTGGCCCTTAATGAGCAGCCTTTTTTTTTTTTTTTTTTTTTTTTTTTTTTTTTTTTTTTTTTTTTTTTTTTTTAGACAGAGTCTTGCTCTGTTGTTCAGGCTGGAGTGAGAGTGCAGTGGTGTGATCTCGGCTCACTGCAACCTCTGCCTCTCAGTTCAAGCAATTCTCCTGCCTCAGCCACCATAGCTGGGATTGCAGATGCGCGCTACCACACCCGGCTAATTTTTGTAGTTTTAGTAGAGATGGGGTTTCACTATGTTCGTCAGGCTGGTCTCGAACTCCTGACCTTGTGATCCACTAGCCTCGGCCTCCGAAAGCTCTGGGATTATAGATGTGAGCCACCGCGCCCGGCCAATGAGCATCTATTAAACATTAGCTATTGTTACCACTCCTCTAGTCAAGTTTTCCCAAAATTCCTCTGTATTACAGGGGTAAGAGGGGACCAGAGACAAGCAGTTTTCAGCACAGGCAGCGGGTATCTGTGAAGGAAGGGTGGGACGCAGGGCGGCCCGCAGCGAGCGTGAATGCCCATCTTAGTGCCTTCACAGAGAGACATGTTGAAAGCCATGGGAACTGACCTCCCATGCTGCCGGTCAAGTTATGATCCCCAACTCTGGCTCCTCAGGGACTCCAGAGCTTCCCATACAAGGTCTCGAATCCCACTTCCCAGGAGGAGGATCAGACTTCTCATTTGGTTTAGCTGAGCTGCTACTGACCAAGATGGCAAGGGGGAAAGGAAAGGAAACTTTAACACATGTTAACCAGAGAGATAATATGTGCCCTCCAAAGTGGGCACAAGAACTTCACAGATGGGGAAACTGAGTCTCAGAAAGCTTGGTCATTCACTCAAGTTCACACAGCTAGTAAGCAGGTGGCTGTGGGATACACCTGACAGCCTGGCCCTAATGCTCACCTTGTTCTGCTACCTAGAGTCCAGGGCAGTGCCAAGCTGGACCCACCATTCCCACCAAACTGCACCTCTGACCTGGGTTGCAGACCTGTGGCTTACTGTCCGTGTGTACACAGGCAGGTGTGGCGGGTAGGAGGGAGACAAAGGGTTCAGCTCCCTAACATATGACCTCAACCTCTGTCACATGGCTACTGCATAGGAGACCTCACCCCTCGGCCCCCTGGCCCCACCCCCAGGAGCCGATAAGGAGCCAGGGTAGCAAGAGAAGGGAACGATAAGTCAAGGGACTGGGCAGGGCTGGCAGCAGAATGGGGCCTTCGCACCCAGGCAAACCGACAGTGCAGGGAGCATGGGCAATGCACAGACAAGTGGCCCGTGCTGCCTCGGATACCCACCCCAGACCAGTTCTGGGCACTGGGGGCTGGACAGGAGACTGGGGTGGGGGGGCAACAGCAGGGAGCCTTAGCCCAGGGAACCATCAAGAAAGTAGGTCAAGTTTTTCTTGGCTTGTGGAGAAATTCCTGTTATAAATTTATAATGGCGTAGCCAGCCCTAAGGGGTGGAGGTGGGGGAGGAGAAGGGGTGGGTGGGGAAGCCCAGGGGCTGGGCACTTGGGCCTGATGCCCTCAGCCAGACAGTGAGGCGCAGGGGGCAAGGGCTGCTGCGGGGGTGGGGATGGACAATAGGGGACGGTCCTGACTCCATGTCCATGAGTGCCTAGCATCTGTCCGTCTGTCTGTGTCTGAATGTCTCTCTCTGGGTTTGGGTGTCTCTGTTCTCCCCCCCAGGCTGTGCCTCGGTGCTTGGCACACCCTGGCTGCGGTGCTGCCCCCGCCTGTCTCCTGCCCTCCTGGCACACTGCCACCACTTGTTTACAGAAGCTGGAAAAATCCACTCGCCAGCCGGAGGCCCAAGCGCCCCCAGGGAGGGGAGGAGGCAGAACAGGAGTGGGCATGCTGAGAGAGGGGCAGCCTCGGGGAGCAGACCCTGAGGGCAGCCGAGGAGGACCAGTGTGTGCAGGCACAGGCACTGGCTGCCGTGGGCTGGGCAAGGAACACCAGCGGCAGGCACATGGCATGAGCAGCTCCTGCCCCAGGCCAGGGCTCCTGAGGGCCTCCCCCATAGGCCCCCGCCACTTACCAGTTGCTACATTGCAGACTTGGGGCAGTGCCAACCTAAGCCACCATGTTTATTTCCCCTTCCCTCTCCCCTGCCCAGCCTTAACTCCAAATGTGTCTGAGTATTGCCAAGGGCCTGCACGTGCCCGCTGGGGGGAGGGGCAGGCTCGCTCTCTGCTCCACCCCTCTGCTGAACTGAATGGTGCCCCGGTGCTGGTCGGTACTGCCCAGGCTACAGTCAGCCCCCGGTATTGGGCAGAGGAGCAATGTGCTGTCCTAGCTGCTAGGGCACCCTCATCGGGTACCCAGCAAGAGGCTGGAACCCCTGGGGACTCCTTGACATCTCTCCAGGATGCTCTTGGGCCTCTGGAGTGATACAGAGGGCCCGGCACCCGAGGAGACACATACCACGTGAGCCTATGCTAGCCGCGGCAGAAAAAGGTCAGTGGACAAGGGGCATGGGGCAGGGGTACCCACCCTCTCTCCCCTCCTCGAGTCCAGCTTAACGCCCCAAACTCCTTCCCTTCCCAGCACCCCTTCCGTGGAGGTGCGGGAGGCTCCGCCCCAAGGAGGCCGAGGGGGCGGGGCTACGGGGTTCTGCGCCCAAGCTGGACAGCAGGACAGCAACACCCACCTGTCGACTGGCCTGGCCACCCACTCCCTCCTGGTGAGATAAGAGCTGCCGGGTGGCAGTGTGGGCAAGGTGCCCGTGGAGGGGAAGCATTTCATTAAGCTTAAGTGCTTCTGCCACGGGGGGACAGGGACACGGGGCCAATGCGGCATCCACGGGCGCCAAGCCAGGTTCCCACTGCCTGGCCGTCCGCTCTGCAGTCCTGTGGATCTGAGGACACCCCCACAGGACTCCTGCGGCTGTCAGAGGGGAGTTTCTGTTCCTAGGATCTAGCCCCCAGTACTACCCCAATTAACCCTCCTGCGTATCTGCTCTGGGCTTTGGCCTCACCTTTCTGGGGCCCCTGAACTTTGTCCTTAGTGCTCTGAAGAAAGCCCAGCCCTCCTTGCCAGCCACAGAGACACACACACATAGGGCGGCTGAGAAAAGGATGTAAAAAGGAGGGGTGGGGGGCAGAGGGAAGGCGGGAGGAGGGGGCAGAACAAAGAGATGGGACAGGGCTGGGGTAGAGCTAGGGGTGACAAGGCAAAAGAGGGAGAGGAAGAAAGGGGAGCCAGAGATGGGGGATGGGGAGAAGGGGTGAGGTAGAAAGGACAGATACAGGGAGGAGAGACACACGAAGGAGGGGAGACAAAGAGAAAGGTAACAAAGAAAGATGGGTGGGGGGGCTTCGTACCCTGCCTAAGTCCCACCCCATGCAGGCAGGGGGGGAGGGGGGAGTAGGAATGGTTTCCACGGTGACAGCTGGTTCTTGGTGGCCTGGCATGTGGGCTATTAATAGTGCTGTGGGTAGGTTCACACCTCCCTCTCCCCTTCCCCTCTGCCTGCTGCTAGGGTGGGGGGAGATCCCTCCCCCACCACCCACTCCCGATCACCCAGCCTCCCACCATGGGAGCCAGGAAGGGCGATGCCAAGGGGCCGGGGCAGCCACCATGGCCCAGACACACAAATGGGCATGCATGGGCACAGGCATCTGTGGGCAGCACTGCCCCCCCATGCCAGCACGGGCACCACAGGCAGCCACCTACACTGAAGGGCCCTGGGGGTCTGTGGCGGCAGCAATGCTGCAGCAGTGACACTTGCCCCTGTGTTGAGGACAGAGGCCTCTCCAGGGCCAGGACCCTCTCTCCTTTCCCACACCCCCTGTTCTATTCTCAGGTGTGGATTGAGCAGGGCTGCCCCACCCAACTCTGTTATCCTAGTGCCAGGAAGGAGAGGAGTGAAGGCGGGAAGGAAGGTACTATTTGGCAGGTGTGATGTGGAGAGGAGTACACACAGACTCAGGGCACCAGCCTGGCGGGCATGGGGAGATGAGAGGAGGGGAGGCGGCACCCCTGGGTGAGCTCTCTCTCGCTGGGCCCCCAGGAGACAGGTGCTGGAGCTGGGGGGCTGTGACTCATCACCTAGCCACTGTGGGGCCTTAGAGGCTAGAGAATGGGAGACGGGGTGGGGATCCTCATAAGGGGGAGACCGGTTACTTAAACAAAGGCTCCTCCCTACCCCCCCAAAAGAATATAACAGGAAACCCCCCTGCAGGTCAAAGACAGAAAGACATAAACAGCAGCCTTGACTTGGGCCAGATGCCCAGTATTAACATCAAAGACTGTGCTTCCCACCCGGCTCCCCCACAGCCTCACCCACCTGCTGCTCTCCTCTCCCTCCTCCTCCCCGGGCCAGCTCCAGTTGGGCATCAAGGTGGGTGCCCAGGTCTGGAGGTCTCCTCCTGGGTCACATCTATCCCCCATGACCACCAGTGGGTGGTCATGCCCACACCCATGCTGGAGAACTCAGCCTCTCCTTATCAGCCCAACTCCCCTCAGGAATGGAGGCAGGAGATTCAAGTAGCCAAGAAAGCAGAAACAGGAGCACCCCCAAGCTGGGCACAGCACATTCTCCCCACCCTCCCCCCAGCAGCCAGCGGGTAATTGGAGCTGGGAGCTGGGGCAGCTGAAAGCTGGAGGCACGAATGTCACGGGGCCAAGGCACTTGCTGCAGATGGCACCATGGGCACAAGGCTTGGGGTCCTCCCGCCTCACTCCCTCCTCTAAGGCAGT